CTTGGCGATATGAGCCCGCATCGAGTCCCAGATGACATACTGCCCAGTCGTTTTGGCTACTTCAGGGAAGTACCAATCCAGCCAGTTGAGGAGAAGGTTCTGGTCCACCCACGCTCTCTCTTGATAAGCAACGTAGCACCCACCAACACGCTCTATTGGTCCCCGCGTCTTTCGCTTCCAGATAAGACTCGGCGGTAGCTTCTTCCCTGATGCTGTTACTGCAAGCGCCGCAGTAATCCGCATGGAAGAGAACTCAGTAGAGCGAATGACGACGTGACGTGCTCCAACCTCGTCGACCGTGTGCGTTCGATCATCCTCAAAGTAGACAGCAGTTTCGTCCATTAGAATAGTTCGGTCGCGGTTCATGGATGGCTTGTGTTCGCCCAAATAGGTCATGTAGGAAACCGCTCGCTCCACCAACTCGTCGTCGCCGAGTGTTGTGAGGTTTGTCCGCTTTCGAAGTGTTAGACAGTTGCGCTTCATGAATCCTTGCACCCACGGATCGGACGCGACGAATCGGATTGGGTCGTCTTCGTGCTGCTTTTCCGTGCGACTTGCCTGGAAAAGTGCAATAGCAGTCGATGCTATCCACTCCCGCGTCGCTTTCTCTTTCCGTAGACGCTTATCGTACAGCAAGTCCACCAACTCGTCTTCAACAACTCCTAGGAGGGGCTTGCGGCCCCCACCAAAAAGCCGAAAGCGAGCAACAGACTCCGTACGAATTTGGTCGCGATCACGCCACCATTTGCGATAGGCAGACGCCGACACTCGCCACCCGAGCTGACGAAAGTGCGGCTCCGCTCGAGATGGAATTCCACCACCTTCGGACTCAATCCAGTCGATAGCCTGTTGCTTGAGACTGATCTCGACGGACTTACGTTGTGCAGGCATTGCAGAAAGGAGACTGATGAAACAAAAGCACTGGAGCCTTGTGAGTGGTGAAGAAGGAAACGAATGGCGGTGGCAGTGTTGGGCGAAACGAGTGGTGTCTAGAGCTGTGGTTTAGGTTGCACTGTCCAGATCTTGAAAGGTTGTTTTGTTAGCGCACTCTAATTGATCGCTAAGTACTAACTTTTAATATATAAGTTTGTATGGAAGCTCATAAACAGTGTTCGATTTGACAGAAAAGGGGGTGGTTCTAAGTGTTGACGCTGCTGCGGATCTAGTCAATTTGTATGCTAGCGTGGTGAAGCAGGCCGAGTTCGCGGTCGTTAGCACATGTAG